AATAATTATCAAATAATACTTTTATTACTTCATTAATATAAATAAAATTAATAATTTTCCATTTTAAATATATATAAAAATCTTTAAGCAATTCTGCTGATTAATCACTAATTAAGTTAATCAAAGTTTGATCATTTTATAATTTTTATGCTAGATGTACCTCTCATATTCTCTTTCGATTCTTCTTCTATCTTTTAAATTAAAAAATTTTAACTTTACAAATGTTGATGTATATAATTTTTTTAATATCAGATTTGCAACTTTAAATATACATTAAAGCTAAACTTCGACTCTAAAAATTAAACAAACGTTTACCTTTCGCGAATAGAACGTATTCACGGAAAAGTTTAAGTAAAAAAAAAGCCATTTTAATATAGAACGGGAAGAAAAACATCTCGCACTTTGTTTCATCGTATTTATTTTCCAATTATTCAAATTATTCACGATTTCTGCTATATCGTTGGTAAGATATCAGAATTGCAGCGCCGTCTCGGTTACTTAAGTCCCGTTTTATTTGGTCGATAAGTAAAGAAGTTCGCAGAAGAGAGTTACCGCTAATCCTAAAAAGATATTCAAAAAGACAAGGTATGCATATATGTATACATATATATGTATATATACGGCCCAACACAACGAATTGTAGAATATCACGATATCATTTCCCGCTTCTCTTTGTAAACGTGTAACAAAATGCAACGAACGATGAGAGCCGTAGATCGAAGAACGACAAAGTTGTATGTACTGTTGTAATGTGCTTAAAAGTGGAATGACACATTTCTCCCGTATATATATATACATATACATCCTCTATTTATTTCAATGAAAGAGTAAGTAATATTTAATAATATGTATGTGTGTGTGTGTGTTTGTGTATATGTGTATACATCCTCAGTCGATTGACGGAACTTATAAAATCATAATCCGCGAATAATAAACACATTTCGTCGTTTGCACTCTAATCATCGTTACTGACTACCCGTGTCCACGATACGTGTGACTAGTAATAAATGTTAATTAATAAAATAACTTAAACATCTTTCACTCATATAATCTTGTTATGTATACATATATATATATTTATAAATTCTCGCTTTCACGCTCGCGCTTGTTCTCACGTTCGTACTTTACTCAACATCTGATTGGAATGATTGTTAAAATTGGGAGATTGAAGTCAATTCAATCGCGAGATAAGAAACCAACTGTGGATTTGTCTTGTTCTCCGTTACGTAGAAAAGCCATATCGCTCTCTAAAATTGATCACTCATTTTTTCACAATAGAGCGCTGTGACCACACAGTCATTGGAAGAACTTGACTGTAGGCTGTGATATAAACTATAACTTTCACAAGTGTTTCCTAAACGAGATGCCTAAATCAGACGAGGATATTGTGAAATTAATGTTACACAATTCGGTGGCTCTCGCAAAAAACAGTCTCGATATCTAAAATAAAACGCTTGTTTGTGAGTAATACATATGATTAATATGCTTAATAATGTGACGTGTGTGTATTAATTACTTAGATAAGGCCACTAGTGGATGATACAGATATAATATAAATATTACAATTATAAGCATATAGATTCTCAAAGCAACGGTCGAGTAGTTACACAGTATGTCCAGAAACGATCAATCGTAGAGAAAACGAGGTGTGTATTTTTAATGCAGGATTTGTAACGTATAAATTTGTTTTTCGTTATTGTCATATACTTTCATTGTAAGATGACACTATGCGAACGACATTTGTCGATCTGGAAATATCTTTTCCCTCCTCTGAACATAGGTAGAATTTAGTTGCCTATTGCATTCAAGATATCTAACTGTATAATATAAACACTAAAGGTTTCTTTTCCTTCTCTTAAGAATATACGCGATTCTTCATATATTGAGTATAAGATTTGTCTTTCTTTTAAAAAGCTATCTTAGCTATCATATAATACAATTCACGCGAGCTGTATACAAACATGGTATTACAATTACAAAAATTACTAATGCCTCGTATTTCTATTCACCGTTTGAAAAATCGTTTGGGTGTAGATTTGTTACACCTCTCTCTCGAAATAACATGCGCGAAGAGAAGCACGCCGCTGAAATTCATCATTCACATCGGCGTCCATGAGAAAGCGATTTTATATATAAATTCGAGGTGAAGGAACGATCTTTTGTTGTCTCTCGACATATCGCATCCTCCGTTCAGTAATCGAAAAATAACGGATTTATATACTCTATCGGAATTGTCTTTCTTCTTTTTTTTAATCTCGTCACTCGATGTTGTTCAAACATCACGGCACACCAGGCACTGTACATTGAGCATTGCTCGAGCCAGACCTCTCAGTCTGGCTTATATCGTGTGTTACAACGTGGATTCGTGTATCACCGTTGTATTCGGATCACTGCTAGCAGTCTGAATTATTGCTGGCGGTATGTGTGGCGTCAATGTGATGGATGAAGTCTTGCGCACAGGTTTCGGAGAGGCCTGTAATTAATATTACGATCAAGTTTAGTCAATTAATTTACTTTTATCATTCAATGTTATTAATTAAAATTCAGTATTATAGCTTCTTTACCACACACACAAATATATTTCATTTTAATACAACATGTATTACCCATTCTCTTCTGCAAGGTGTTTCGTCATCTGAATAATGATCGATCTGCCCAATATCGGTTTCTGTCACTGCGTTCCTCTTCTTTGGCTGCAAAGTCGCGTAGTTGCCACAGCCTCTGGTGAAGTTAGTCATATTCTTCTCTTCGACGATTTTCTCCTGACACAATATCTCTTGGGATTTACTTTGCTTGTTGTTCGTTACGTCATTGGTACTTTTATTATTAAAATAAAAAGGTGGCATTTTTGATACCCAATGATCTAGACCAGAACCAGCCGAGCTCGTTGACGCCGCGGACGAATTTCCCGTCGAATTATTAGACAGGCCCCTTCGCTGATAGAACAGCATGTACGCCGAGTTTGTGATTAGATTCGTGTCATTAACCGCTTCCACGC